GTGTGTGTGTCCATCCCTCTCCCTCCCAGTGAGCAGAACATCCCATTTGCCAGTTGCAGCCACTTGACCTCTGGTAACAACGTGAGATCCCATCTCATTTTTACTTTTGAACGTCGGCCTTACAATCAAATGTAAGTTATATATATTTGTACTGATGAGAATTTATAATCTGCTTTAACAGAAATAAATGTTCGTGGTAGAAGCTTTTGGCCATGAAGGGCTATTCTTTCCCCTTTATTAGCAAGTGAGTTTTGGTTCTTTTTGGTCTTGTCCTCTCTCCATTCTACTGCCGCCACAGATTTCTAGGTTGATGGCTAGAAAATCTTTCACCGGGATTAGTATATTCTTAAAATTCATATTTGTATCCACACTTTAGGCTTTGGTTGTTCCTAAGCGCATCTCTGATGTCAGATTCTTCTTGCTCAAAGTGCAGACTTCAACCTGGCAGCTGGTTAGAGATACAGAACCTCAGCCGACCCCAGACCTAGTCAGGATCTGCATTGTGACGAGATTCACATTCTGAGAAGCTGGGCTGGAGCAGTGATTTCCAACTTTGAATACGTATTAGAATCATCTGGGAGATTTTAAAATCCTCATGCCTGGCCCATACTCCAGACCAATTAAATCAAAATCTCTGGAGAGTAGAACCCCAGGTTCAGTTTTTAAAAAAGCTCTCAGTATGGAAGAAGGTTGAGAACCATCGGTCTAGGTTGAGTTTTACTCTCACCTCTAACCTTACCCCACTACTCTGTGACTAGTTCCAAGAACTAACCTACCTCAAACTTACCTTCTGAAGTGTGTCACAAATTTGCCAAATACTAGTTTAACTAAAGAACGGGGGAGTCCAAGAAGGTAGCCCTTATTTTCCAATTTCTACAGCAAAACCATGGTTAGGGAAAGGGATGCACCTCAATATTTTTTTAAAAATGAAAAAAAGACCTGTGCCACCACATTTCTTTTGTTGAATGAGAGGTAGACCAAGAAGAAGTATCACTCACCCATGATGCAGCTGTTTGTCTTTTCCAGCCAGTGTGTTGGTAATAAAAAAAGTCACCTTTCCCTGTAATGCCTGTCTTTCTTGTGTCCCAGAATAACCTCTGTTACTAGGCCCAGCCAGTCCTCTGGAGGATGTGTAGAAGGTTAAAGTGGAAAGAAACTCGGAAACTCACTGAAAGCAGGCCTCTTGATTGAGCAGCAAGGAATTAAGAGGCTCCAAGAGAGGAAGAATGACCTCTTCCAACTCAAACCATTTCTGAAACCACTTCCCTGTATTACATTGCCCTCCACTCCATTGGTTCCCCCCCATCCTGCTGGTGCTGTTTTTTATAATAGTGTTTTTGTTTTATTTACTTATTTATTTTTGGCTGAGTTGGATCTTTGTTGCTGCAACACAGGCTTTCTCTAGTTGCAGCGAGCAGGGGCTACTCTCTGTTGCGGTGCGCGGGCTTCTCATTGCGGTGGCTTCTCTTGTCGCGGAGCACGGGCTCTAGGCACACAGGCTTCAGTAGTTGTGGCTCGCGGGCTTAGTTGCTCTGCAGCATGTGGGATCTTCCTGGACCAGGGCTCAGACCTACGTCCCCTGCATTGGCAGGCGGATCCTTAACCACTGCTCCACCAGGGAAGCCCAACAGTCTGCTTTTTATCTGGCAGCAAGTATTTTGCATCAGACATACTGGCTTGAGGAGGAGAGGCTCCTTGGTGGTCACTGCACCGAACAGGCTCACCTGCTCCCTGCAGGTGTGAGACGATCCTCACGGCTTGGCTTTGCATGTCTGCCTCGGGAGGAAGGCTCCATCCAGCCTCCTGATGAAAGGAAGGCGCTTTTCTAGTTCTTTCATACTCAGATAATGATGCAGTGGCTGCTGTTTCATCCCAAATCCCTATACTGGGCCTTTCATTTTATTCCACTTCGTCGACAGTTTTCACAAACATCATGCTATTAATGACCATATGCACAGATGGGATTTGAAGCTGGTTGCTATACTACCTAGAAGGGCGAGAGAGGCTAGAGCAATGAACCGCTGTTTGGACCCCAGATGAGACCTAGTTCTATCAAAGTATGCTTCCCTGACACAACAGGAGTTAGTGTTCCCGTAGAAGATCGGTATTAACTTTGAGATCATTACACACCTCCCCACACAGCTTTAAATGAAGTGAGAACCCTGGTGGCTTTCTTTAAAACACAGTGAACTGATCCTGTGTAACAAATTTTAGAGGGAAGTTGTAAAGTGAAGGATGTCCTTATCCAAATAGATGCTTCTTCTTGACAACTCAGCAGGCGCTTGTGGTACGTCAGAGAAGCAAACACTGCTGGGACTACAGAGGGAGGCTGCCGCTGGTGCTCAACTGCCGGAGCAGCTTTGAAGAGGCCAGTGTCTCCGGAGGAGAACTCCCTTTGCCAGCCAGACAGGGGAGACTGAGAGCCTGTCTCCCCTTCTCCCAGCCCTGTGAGTTGTATCCCTGCTGCCAGATGGGCTGAGCAGGAGGCTAGACCCGGGAACAGCTGGCACAGCAGAAGCTGGAGTAGTACTCATTGCCGCAGAGCCGGGCCTGCAGGATCAAATCACAGTTGGCCAGCTCCGGCTGGTCGATGCACTCCCTGCCAGGGTCCCTCGGCACGGTGGCCAGTGCTGCAAGACAGCGGGGGAGAGGGGGTGGTAAGAAAGCTCTGTGTAGGCTGAGAACTCTCCCCTACTATTTCATTTCATTTCGTTTCCCTGAAAGGAAAGTGCTGTCACACTGTAACCTTGTGACACCTGTATGTACAGCTATGGGAGGGCTCTCAGTTTCCATTGTCACTGGCCTCACTTCAGCATGCAGTTGTCCTCCCATTCTTTTGCAGCTTCCGCCCAGTGCACAGCCCATCACAGACTCCCAAATATTGACTGCCTGGACGATTAAACATCTCTGGAAGTTAACCCCCTGCCCTGACCATGGAGACCCCAAGAGCTGGACGACACTGTTGCAGCCTGTGGATGGGGCAGAAGAGAGAGCAGGGTCAGCCCTAAGCACAATTGAGTCGGCAAAGGCTGTGTTCTCTTTCACTACTGGTTTCCTCCTACCTCAAAAGTTTTGTGCCTTCAATAGCCCCAGCTTAGTCACTTAGTTCCCCATCTTTCCAATTTTTCCACTTCCCCCGGAGACAGCAAAGAGTATTAGGCAAGGTGACAGGAGGACAGGCTGTGAACTGTGGCACTGAGACTACATCGAGCACAAAGTGCTGGTTGCCTCCCCCTCTGAATTTACTGGAAGCTTCAGTATCTTATAAATCCCTGTGAGAGTTTCATCCTGCTGCTTCATCTTAGCACTGAAGTGGCCTTTTCTTTCTGGAAGGGGCTCTTATGACTCAGCTTGGCTTAGGCCTGAGCAGCACCTCCCTGAAGTCATCTCACGGGGCTGGGGATGGCCTACTCCATGCCCTCTCCCCTGCTCCCTCCTAAAATACAACTGAAAGACCATACCTAACAAGTGGACGGCTGTATAAAGTAATACCGATAATACAAGAGTATGAACTACTTACGTTTACATAAAGAGCAAGCCACCTATGCCTATTCTTAAAAATCATAACTTTGGTATCAACTTTATCTCAGCCATTGCAGCCCTTGGACCCATCACGGCCAGAGGTGAGGAGGTGCTGGGCTTGCTGGTGAAGCACGCTGGTTGCCTGGGCGCCATCGTGGCTCTGCCACTTCTAGCCGGGGGTCTCTGGGCAAATTAATATTACTTAAGCTCTCTGTTTCTCAGTTTTCTTATCTGAAGTGGAGATAATAATAGCACCTGGGGCACATAGTAACCATGGCTAGAATGTGCGCATGTAACTGTTTTGCCCCATAGCATTCCCACTCACTTAGAGTAGTGTGAGTGACCGTCCCCCGCTATGTTTTAACCCTACGATATTTTCTGTTTCTCACCCTAAACTTTTAGGCAAAAAGCTTGAGAGGTCTTCACAGTAGAAGTATGTCCCTTACACCAGAGTGTGACTAGCTCAAGGCCCCCCACCCTGATTCGAACACTGCAGTTCCAACATGCCACCAAACCACGAATAGGGCACAGTGAGACAGCCTCAAGCAGTGAAATGCTACAAAAAGCTTACATGGGTGACAGCAGATAACATGCAGCCTAATCGATGGAACGAACACTGTTAAAGGAGGGAGAGAGATAGCTTCTCATCAAGAAAGGTCCCCCCCACCGCCCACACACAAAAAAAGTAAGATTAGCAACGCTCATCTAATGGGGCGGGAGAAAGGCAGCTGGACTGAGGCCATAGTGTCCTATCCAGGAAGGCAGTCACGTCACACCACATCAGGAGCCCCACCAAACTTCAGCATCAACCAAATTTCTAATTACAATTTAGCTTCCCAGGTAGACATGTCTATAGCTAATCACAAACATGCCCATCTGGATCCTCCTAACAGCTCTCCTTCTCTCATAAATCTGCCTTCTGGCCCTGTCTCAAGTCTCGTAAGTTTGGTAAATACACAGACAAGGATCTATTTGCTGGGCAGGACAGAGGTGAAAAGTGGCCCCTACAGGACGGTGCTTTGGCCAAGGCAACGCCTTCACGCAGGCACGTACTCCATCACTGAGTCTCTGAGCACCTGGTGATGCAGACACTGCGCTGGGCCCTGGGACGTGTGCGGCCCAGTTGCTGTCTGAAGGAGCTCAGACTGGAAGCCCACTGTCAGTCCCGCTCACTAAGCAACATTTCTACCAGACTTCAACCTTTAGCCTGGCCAATTCCAGCCTCAGCCCCACAGACAGGAGGTAGCCAGGCCTGACCATCCAGGCTGACCAGCACGGAAAGGCCCTGGCAGTTCTCTCCCAGGCTGTTTCAAGCCCCATGATAACTGGCCTGCTCCAAGTCACACTACCAGGAACTGGCAAGGTGAGGCAGGACTTGGAGTTGAGTCCCCTGGACTGCAGAGCCTGCCCCCTCCGCATTCTGCAGCAAGCAGCCAGCTCTCAAGGACAAGCAGATGCCTGGGGTAGGCCTTCCTTACCCGGCGGGACCACCTTCACCTCGGTGCTGCGGCTGACCGCCTGGCTTCCACGGTAGGCGCTGCATGTGTAGGAGCCCTCGTCCCTGGCCTGCAGGTTGTGGATCAGCAGTGTGCCATCCGGGGACTGGTGGACACGGTGGCCATCGGCCCGCACCGGCAGCCCATTCCTAGGGGGGAGAGGACACTGGGAGAGCTGTCCAGGCCCTGGGAAGCTGTGCCAGCCCTCGCGGGGCCAGGGGGAGGTGGTGATCCAAGGCCACTCCAGAGCCAACGACTCCCTCTTTGCAGCCCCTCACCTTAAGGAAGGGATGGGTCTGGTACCAAGATGATAGACCAGCAACGCCGAAGCAAAATACCTTGGAAGTGAGGTGGACTCACACCAGCTGATCTAAGTGACTGCAGATCTGCCCCTTATCCCCACAGGAGTCTCTCTCCCTCTTCGTCCACAGAGGTCCTCTAAGCAGCGGGATGAAGGACACGAGCATCCTGCCTCCAGCGAGGTGGGGCGGGGTGCAGGTGGTAGGGGAGCCTTCCCTAAGGAGGACAGCTGGCCGAGGCCTGACCTGAGGGTGAGGAGGAGCGGCTGGCTGACAGGAGGACACGGGGACCCGGGGGTTTGAAGGAAGGCCATGGCCGCAGCGAGGAGAGTGGGCGTGGGAGGAAGTGCGCACGGCTCCTGTCAGGAGTCCGGACCGGATCCTGGGGGTAAGCGAGGGGTGTGAGCTGAGCAGGACTGACAACGCCACGTGTGCTTGGAAAGGATCACCAACCGCAGCGTGGGGCAGGGACAAGCCCGAGGGCAGAGGCCAGGTGAGTGGCTGCCACAGGTGTGCACACAGGTTGACGAGACAGACAGTAAAGCAAAGGGACCTGGGTGAGGGTCAGAGGTGGGGGAGAAGAAGAGATCAAGGGTAGCAGGTTCCAAGCTACCAAGGTAGCTTGGTTACTGGGCAGTGGTGGTGCACCTCCACCGTGGGGAGACCCAGGGCAGGATGAGGAGTGAATGGTGAGGTTATTTTCCCCCATTTCGCATTTCGGGTGCTCTGAGACACCAGGAGCCATCAGGTTTGAGGTCTGGACCCAGGTAGTGTCTCAGCAGTGATGGTCCTGGAAACTTCATGTCTACAGGGCTACCCAAGGTGAAGTTAGAGAAAAGCCGAGGACCGAGGACCAAGGACAGACCTCAAGGTACAAGAGCCTCTCAGAGAGAGGGATGTGATGAGCGGGCCAGTAAAACAGAAGCTGCGGGCGGAGAAGCAGGAAGGAGACTGCAGGTCATGTGGGACTGAGTCTGTTCAAGGACTGAGGAACAGGGAGGTACTGGTGACCTCGGTCAGGGCAGTGTCCCTGGCATGGGGGTGTGGGGGTGGAGGAGAGGCCCCGGGGCAAGGGCTGAGCTGCCAGCAGGGAGGTGAGCAGACCAAGATAATGTGAACAGCCGTGCATGAAGGGGACGCAATATAGGACCCCACTGCAGGGAAACACTGGGTCAGAGGAGGGTGTGTTTATGTTTGTTTGTTTTGAAGAGGGGTGTCCTGAGCATGTTTGCTGCTGGGAAGCTCCAGGCCTGATAGGATAATCACAGCCACAGCTGATCAGGGCAGGGCCGGCTGAGGGCACCAGCTGAGAAGCCTGCAGAGGCTCCCACCACCTTCCCTGGCATCAAGGCCACAGAGAGGCAGCTGACCTCCGTGCCCCTCACCGTTCCTGCCAGTGTGCAGGCCCATTCCCATCCTGGCATCATCGCTCCAATACTCACCCTTGAGGCTTGACTAAGAACATCCTTCCCTTCATCCATTCTCCCAGACAGGAGACAGCCTCACCCCACTGTACACAGACGCACTTAAGGCAAACCTCTGGAGCCTGGGGGACACTGGGCCATCTCCTGCCTGGGAGTTTTTGGGGGACTCAGATTACCCCAGGATCCCCAGAGCCTAGCCTAGTCCTGACATACTGCAAGGAGGAAGTGGGCAAAAAAACGCTGAATGAATAAAAGACCAACAGATTTGGGGTGAAAGACCACTGAAGTCCTCAAAGCTGTGTGCAGCCCAGGGTTTCTCAACGCCAGTGGAGATTCTGTCACCCAGGAGACATTTGGCAACATCTGGAGACTTTTTATTGCCATGACTTGGGAGGGAGTGCCACTGGCATCTGGCAGGTAGATGGCCTGGATGCTGCTAGATGTCCTCCAGTGCACCCCAACAGACGAACGTGTCAGCCCAAAATCTCAATAGTGCCGAGGTTGAGAAACCCGGGGTAGCCCGACCAACAGAAAAGAGCAGTCCCAGGGGGCTTCCGGGCGTCGGTATGAGGGCGCTGTGGCCCCTTCCCTGACACCAGGCCGGGAGGCAGGAGTGGAAGAATAAGGGGAGGGGGCAGTGGTGACCGCAGCATCCCGCAGGAAGGTGCACCCCCTCTGTCTGGGCTGTACCACCTCAGGTACGAGGGCCCGAGGGCCAGGCCTGCCTGGAGCAGAGCCTTACCTGGACCATCTGATGTTCACGCTTTCGCCCGCCACCGCACACAGCAGCCTGGCCGTGTCACCTTCTGGCACCATCACCGTAGAGGGCAGCCCTGTGATTGTCAGCTCCCCTGGGCCCAAGGAGGGGGCACTGTCAGCCACCATGCCCATCCTGGCCCACCTGACCTCAGAGGCCACCGGCCACACTCACCCTCCCGCCCGGGACTGCCGCCTTACCCAGAACTCTGAGCTGGACCCAGCGCTGGTCTCGGTCCTGCCCGTTGACTGCAACACAGGTATAGAAGCCTCCATCTTCCACAGCCACGCGGCTGATGACCAGGGAGCCGTCGGACTGCAGCTGGTGTCTGGGGGCCAAGCACAATCAGGTGTCCCCACCCCAAGGTGCCCGGCAGGGGGCAGGAGGGGCAGGATCTTCCCTCCCCTGGTGAGAGGCTGAGCAGCCCCTGCTGTCACTGGGATCTGACCAAGGGCCAGTAGGCCTCCAGCCCTCAGGCCCTCCAGCTGCTGGCACTCTCCTTAAAGATGCCTGACTTTAGAGCCTGAATAAACAAGTCAAGTTTTCTGATACAAAATAATTCTGGTTTGGGTTTCTAGTTTTTGCTACACTTGTTTACTAGGCTCGGTTCTGGTTCTACCACTTAGGAGCTGTGTGGTGTTCAGCTTGTGCATGTCAAATGGGGATGAACTAGCACCCACCTATTTGGTCTCCTCTGCAGGTCATAGGAGGAGAAAAGCCTCACCTCCGAACGGGCCCAGTAAACGTGAGCCCTTGGGATTACGGCCAGAAGTGTGTCCGCCTCTGTTTCCTCGCTCAGCTGTCACCTCTGTTAGCAGGCCCTTACTTCTGTCCGCTAACCACAGTCCAGAAAGGCCCAGAGACCCAAATGCGGTCTGCCCGAGGAGCCCGACGCCACAGCTCCAACCCTCAAGGGGCCCTGGGGTCCTCCTCAGGACCAGGGGGCACCTGCAGCTCCCTCCCCCAGTGGGGGTGCGGCTGGAGGCCGGCCAGGCGGGAGGGGAAAGGAGCTGAACGAACCTGGGAGAAGAGAGGGGCTGCCCATCTCTCTGCCACTCGACGCTTGTGGGTGGGAAGCCCTCAGCACGACAGGTCAGCCGGATCTGCTGGCCTGGATGGGCGTCCACCACCCCAGGCTGGTGCCGGTCCAGACGCAGCCTGCAGAGCAAGCACCCCACGGCCGTGAGGGGGTCCTTGCAGCTGCCTCTCCCCCACTCCCACCCACGTCAGGGGACGGGACCTCCGCACAGCCTCGTGGGCCCCTTCCCCCTCTCCAGCCAGATTCCGCTTCCCAACATCACCCCTTTGTTCCGGTTGGGACATCTTGGACCAGGTCTAAAAGACACCTGTGGCTTATCTCACCTCCGCACCCAGAACCTCCGACTGTCCCCCGCCCGCCCGCCCGCCCGCCCTGCGCGTCTGCCTCCAGGTCCTTGACTTGGGCACCCCCAGCTCTCTGCGTCCCCTCCGTAAACTGCCCTTCTTCAAGGCCTTCTCAGGCCCTCTAGCTGCCGGTGTCCTCCCCTCCCTCGGCTCCTGAGGCCTGGGCCAGGCCCTGGCTCCGTTCCCCACGACTCAGGGTGGTGGGCGGGGTCCCCTTCCTCCTCCAGAAGCTGAGCTCCGGGAGCCATGCTTCCCCAGCCCTCCCCTCACAGAGCCCTGAGCAGGCACCAGCAAGCCCGCTCACAGCACACGCTGGCCTGGGACCACCCACCCTCCCCCTGCTCTCCCCAAGACCTCCCCTAACCCCGGCCTCAGTGGGGCAGACCAAGAGCGAGACAGCACTGCACACTGTTACCTGCTCGTGGGCCATGGGTGCGAGGAGGAGACGGCCCCCCGGCCCCCAGAACCGCCCCCTAGGCTGGGGTCCCGAGGACTGTGGCCCTGGGCTGGGTCCCTGGCCTGAGGGAAGTGCCTTGGTTCAGCCTCAGGAATCACGGCCACGTCACCCCCTGTCATGAGGCAAGGAGAAGCAAGGGGTGAGCTGTGGGGAGAAGGGGGTGGAAGGAAGGGTGGGCCATGGGGCCCGCGGGGAACCAATGGAGAAATGAGGGCCACGAGGGGCAACACATCTGCCCCAGCCCAGCTGGGGCATGTGGTCCCTGCCACCAGGAGGCCTTGGCCCAAGGAAACACTAGTCCTCCAGTGTCGAGGCCCCCCCGGCCCAGGCCCTCCCGGCCGGTACCCCACCCCGGGGCCCATGAGACCCACTGCGGGGGGGGTGGGGACAGAGACCTGTGATGCGAAGCTGGATCTTCTGAGAGCCACGGTCTGGCCTGGTGCTGCCACAGCTGTAGGTGCCAGTGTCCTCTGCCCGCAGGGGGCTGATGACCAGGGAGCCATCGGGCTGCAGCTGGTGCCTGAATGAAGAGAAGGCGCTTGAGCTCTGGGCTCCTGAGGCAACGATGAGCCTGGCCCCTATAAGAGGCGCCGTCGCCCCACACTCACCCGCCCGTCCCAGGAGATCAGAGGGGCTGTGCAGGCTGCACACACACCTGGCAGAGGAGATAGGCCGCCCGTCTTTCTGCCACCTGGCGTGGGGGTCCAGGGAGCTGTCATCTGGGCAGAAGAGCCGCACCAGCTGCCCCAAGGCCACCTGTACCAGGGAGAGCTCCGAGCCTGCCAGGGTGATCCTGGAAAGGTGGGAGGGAGGGTCTGCATGAGTGCCGGGACCAGGGACTTCACCACACAGAAAGCTTGGTGCCCATCCCGTCCTGGGCACCGGTGGGGCCAGAGGGTCCCAGGGGAAGCCAAGCTCCAGAAGCCCGAGGACTCAGGAATCCGCCCTCCCCCCCCCCAATATCCCCAGGCATTGCTACCTCAACCTGTTCCTGCCAGAGCACAGAATAGGCACAGAGCCCAGGGAATGGAGAGGCTGGGAGAGAAGCAACACCAGGTTCCCATGGGGAGCTAAACACATGCCTGATCCCTTTGGAATTCAAAGTTTTATTTATTTTGTTTTTAATCTTCCCAAATCTCATTAATATGACAGTCACAAGACTAACAACAAATGAGACCCACATTAAACCTATGAGATCACATCACCATTTTACAGGGCAAGAAACTGAGGCTTCGAGAATTTGGATGACTTGCCAAAGGTCATGAAGCTTATAACCTAGGCCTCAACTAGACAGGCCCTGGGCTATACCGGCAAGATCTGCTGGAGAGTCTAGGCACCACCATCCACCGATTGCCTGACCCTAAGCAAGTCTCATATCTCCAAAGCCTGAGCTTCCCCATCTGTAGAATGATGGTAACAAGGCCCTCCAGTCTGGGCTGTTTGGAAGATTCCAGGTTAGGGACGGAGGGGGGCCCAGCTGACCTCAGGGTTTTAGCTCCAAAAGGCTCAGCCCTTGGGCCTGGGTCCCTAATCCCCCATCCCACCTGGGGAAGGTGGGCCTCACCTGTAGGAGGAGCTGTGGGAAGGTGGCACTGGTGGTCCTGCGTCTCCGCCCAGTCCAGCGGCACTGGGCCCAAGCTCCTGGCCCTGGGGCCCTTCTCCAAAGGCCTGTCTGTGGTCCACGGCCCCCGGCCCAGGCTCTTGATCTTGCCTCCAGAGGCCACCGGAAGGCAAGGGCTTTCTCTGGACAACAGGCCCCGCCCCGTGCCGGCTGGCTTCCTGCTGGTCCCCAGGACCGCTGCCGCCACTGTCTCTATGGGTGCTTTGGCCAGAGGCCCCGGGGTCGTGTCGGCGGGGCCCATGTTGGGGTCCCCGGCAGCTGCTCACACACTCCTCCTCTGAGGCAAAGTTATTGGCGTTGCCATGGCAGCCACCATACCAGAAACGGTTACACTGGCCCACGGAGGCGATGAAGTACCAGCGGGCGGCCCAGTCCGTGCAGGAGCCATGGGCACTGGGCAGTAGGCACCGCACAGGGTACACTGAGGGGGCAGGGAGGACGCAGGTCACCGAGACCCAGTAACGAAGCTGCAAACGCTGCCCAGGACGTAGGAGTGAGGCCCTTCCCAGGGTACGGAGCACATCTACACTGGGCCCCTGACCAGCCCTGGGGACAGTCTGTTCACTGCCCAGACCTGCCCTGGGCTGGGAACCCAGCAGCCTCCACAATCATCCCCGTCCACCTCCACCCCCAGAACTAGAGCCGTCCAAAGGTCAGGGCCATGAGCTCCCGGACAGGCTCCCTCGTGCTCTTCCCCCACCTGACCCAGGCCCCAAGGGCGCACACAGAGCAACCCCAGGGCCAAACCTTGCTGTGCTTAGCTCACAATGAGGACCCAGCCCTGAGCCCCCAAAGGCCTGTGAAGATGCCCAGTGAGGGGCCCACCCTTGTTCCCAGGGCCCTTCACCAGCTCTGAATCTTCTCCAGCCCCCAGCCTGCCCATAACAATCACCCTCCTCCCAGGCACAGCCTGCTCCCTCTCCGCATTCAGATGTGACCACGCTGGCCCCTGCTTAAAGCCCATCCAGGTGCCCAGCCCCCTGCAGACTCAGCCCACCAGCCCACCTGGCTTCCAACGTCCCTGTGATGGTCCCTGGCACTCCACCCATGCACCCGCCTCACAGCCCTCCTTCCAGGACTCATCCCAGGCAGGGTGGGGACACCCCATCCATCCCAGCCCTGACCTCCCTGTCTCTGGAGGGGGCTGAGCCCCGGGGGCAGCACAGCCTTCCTTCTCTGTGGAATCCCCACTGACAACTCTCCCCAACTCCCTCAAGCAACCAGGCGGCGACAAGTGCAAACTGTTGGACACGATAATAATCTTGCACTGTTCTCTGGCCCGGCACCTAGTAGGTGATCAGTAAGTATTTGTGGAAGAAAAGAGCAATAACCAAGGCAGTAGGAAGGTTCTCGGCTCTGGGTGGGGTGGCGAGCACAGTGGGACCAGAGCCTACCCACCAGGAAGGACAGGAAGGGGCATCCACTCACTGTAGCTGGGCTGGCCCACACAGCCTTCCCCAAGAGGGCCCACCGCAGAGGCCATGTTGTCGTAGCAACAGCCGAACTGGGAGACCCGGCACTCACTGGGCTCATTCTGCTGGGCCTGGGGAGGAAGCCCAAGGTTGGGAAGTTGGAAATAAGTCTGGCTCTTGGCGGGAACTCTAGGCTGCCAGGTAGAGGATGGCACGAAGAGGGACAGAACAGTGAACGCACGGAGCATAACCCCAGCCCTGGGGGCAGATCAGAGGCCAGGAGAATGTTGGCTGAACCCCCCAGCTCCAGCCCAGGCCTGTCGCTGAAGCCCTATGCCCTCCAGAGGATGGTCCAGTCCAGCCGGCTTCAGGGACCTCCTTTCTGCAAGGCTAAAGCTGCAGAGCCTGGGTCGCAGTGGCTCTGAGCAGGCTCGGGGGCTGGACTCCTGCCCCTCACGTGACCAGACACTTACCGTGGAAGCCACCTCTCTCGACCGTGGCCTGCTCCCGGTGTTGCTGCGTCCATAAGAGCTCACACAGCCAGCCTGATGGGGCCCCTCGGCCACAGACACCCCGTCAGGACAGCACCCGAACCTAGACAGACATCACACAGCCCTCCCCTCACCACCCAGCCCTGACCCCCACCCCTACCAGGGACCCTGAGCTTCCTGCATCCCAGGATCCGGGCTCTGAGGCTCCCTGAGCCAGAGCCTGACCGGGTGAAGATCCGCGTGGGAGATGGGTTTGTGAACCCCAGTCTCTGCCATGTCCACTGGCCGCTTAGAGGCTCCCAGTGAGGGCGACAGGAAAACAATACGCAGGGCTGAACCCTTAGTAATTGAGAGATCTTCAACTCACACAGCCCACCACAAAGCCGAGGAGGGGGAAATGCACCTGAACCTGCCCAGACACCAGGTTCCCAGGGAGTTTTTACAAAATGTCAGCGGTTGGGCGATGGGGCAGAAGAGGGTGTCAGAGGAGCCCACCACTTAGTGCACCTCCACCAACCAGGAGCTGGGAAGGAAGGTGAAAGAAGGAACATATCAAAGCACCTTCTATGTGCCAGGCACCATGTGATTCGTTTCAGCCTCACAGGAACCCCAGTCAGTGGCTGTCATTGTTCCCAATTCTCAGCAGAGGAAGCCAAGATCAAAGAGGTTAATAACTTGCCCCAAGTCACCCAGCACGCAACCGGTAAGCGGCTGAGCTGAGAACCACCCCCAGGCTGCTGGGCGCGAATCTCAGCCCTTAGCACCACAGCCTCTGAGGGACTGGGGGCCTGGTTTGGATCGGAGAGCTAGAATCATAGCCCACTTGCCTTCCCAGAGCCTCAGGCTACATCTCAACAGGCTGACTTCTGCAGAGAAAGCAGGGGGTTTTGCCCACAGCCAGCACGTTAAGGAGCTCAGCGAGAGGAACCCAAGCCCTCGGTTTTGCGCTACCAGGGCAGCTCAGCCTGGAGCTCTGCTAAGCCACCCCACGCCCTCTCCGAGCAGAGACACTGCCCGTGCATCAGACACACCCCCTGAACACACACCTTCCCTCTTCGACCTGGGGAGAAGGAAGAGGCACCCACCTGCTCTGCTGACATGAGGCCCCCGGGCAGCCTTGCCACTGCGGCCCAAGAGACGCAGTGTGGCCATCGGGGCAGCACCCATGGGGGCTGTGTCTGCAGTCACGGGGCCCCAAGCCAGACCGCAGGGGCTGCCGGTGTGAGGAATGCCGCAGAGATGGGGCTGGGCCCGGGGCTGGCAGGTGTGGGCTCTGGTCGCCTCTGGGGTTACCCCGAGCTGAGGGTTGCTCCTGGGGTGCCCACCACTGGTCTCTGAAATCTAGAGAGAAGAGGAAGCAGAGGTCATGTGATGTCTCCACCTGGCTCCTCACCCTCCATCTGTGTCCGCATCAGACCCACCTCTCCCCATCCCCCCAAACCACCTGCCGCCACCCTCAACCTCCATCTCAAGGGCCCGGGGCTGGGGGCTTCCACTGAGCTTCTCACCTGAGGTGGGGGCCTCCTGTGGGCCCAGAGACATCCACGGGTCCCTGGGGCTGGTGTGCATGTCCTGCATGCTGGGGACTTCTGCAGGGAGCCGGGGCAGTCAGGGTGCAGAGGGAAGGCCACCCCCACCAACATCTGCTCCCACCCCACTACTCAGGCAGGACCTGGGGAACCCAGGACAGTAGAAGGAAAAAGGAGCAGACTTGTGTTTTTATAAACACCCTTCCCAGGTTTCAAGAGAGTCTTTGATTGCATAGAAAATGCTCATGTTACGTGTTCAGCAAAAGGAAAAGCCACATGTAAAATTAGCGTTTATGTTTGATCCCAATGACATAAAGCAAAAAATGATACACAAACATTTTTAATTGGACTAATGAAAAGATAAACAATCCAGTTTTAAAATGGGCAAGGAGCTTGAACATATGCTCCTCCAAAGAAGACACACAGATGGCCAACAAGCACATGAAAAGATGCTCTACATCATCAGTCATTAAGGAAACGCAAATCAGAGCCATAAGGAGACACCACTTCGTATGCACTAGGATGACTCTAATCAGAAAAGACTGAAATAACAAGTGTCGGCGAGGATGCGGACAAACTGGAAACCCATGCACTGTTGGTGGGAATGTAAAATGGTGCAACACTGTGGAAACAGCCCGGCAGTTCCTCAAAAAGTTAAACGGAGTTACCATAGAGCCCAGCAATTCCACTTCTAAATATATACCCAAGGGAACTGAATATACACACCCACACAGAAACTCCTGCATGAATATGTTCATAGCAGCATTATTCATTATGGCCAAAGGGTAAAAACAACCCAAATATCCATCAACAGACACATGGATAAACAAATCGGGCACATCCATGTAACTGAATGCGATTTAGCCGTAACAAGGAATGAAGTGCTGATGTATGCCACAGCTTGGATGAACCTCAAAAACATTCCGCTAAGTGAAAGAAGCCAGATGCAAAAGATCTGCTCTTCCTTTTATCTGATATTATCTAGAATTGGCAAATCCATAGAGACAGAGAGCAGGTCAGGTGACCAGGGAAGGGGACTAGGGTTAATGGGGAGTGATTACTTGATGGGTACAGGGTGTTTATATGGGGTGATGAAAATTTTTGAACCTAGAGAGTTGGTCGTTGTACAACATTGTGAACACAACAAAGAAGAGCACACTGTCTACTTGGACTTCCCTGGTGGCACAGTGGTTAAGAATCCGCCTGCCAATGCAGGGGACACGGGTTTGAGCTCCGGTCCAGGAAGATCCCACATGCCGCAGAGCAACTAAGCCCGTGCACCACAACTACTGAGCCTGTGCGCCTAGAGCCCGTGCTCCGCAACAAGAGAAGCCACCGCGGTGAGAAGCCCACGCACCGCAACGAAGAGTAGCCCCCGCTCGCCGCGACTAGAGAAAGCCCGCGTGCAGCAACGAAGACCCAGCGCAGCCATAAATAAATAAATAAATAAAAACAGCACACTGTATACTTTAAAGTGGTTAACTGTGTTGATTTTCACGTCAATTTTTAAAAATCCATATTAAAAACAATTGGATTAATAGATGAAGGGATAGAGAGTAGATGATGAAAAAGTAATTACAACAAATATTAATTGTGAACTTGATGGTGGGCACATGGCTGCTCACCACAGAGCTCTTCAACTTTCCTGTGTGATCCAAATTCCTCATCGTCTCTTGTCCAGCTTAGTGAACTTACTAAAAACCACAAACTGTACCATTAGCATGGGTGAATTTTACGCTGTATGATGTTTAACCACCTCAATATTAAGTTCTTAAAAAGATTTTCATCACAAAATATTAGAGAAAAAATGCAAAAGGCTGAGTAGATAAGATTAGGATAATAGGAATTTTTAAAAATGATACCCAAAAGAATACTAGCAGGACACCCCCCAAATGCTCACAGTGACTGTGAAACAGACTCACAGAGAACAGATTTGTGGCTGCCAAGGGGAAGGGGGTGGGGGAGGGGTAGATGGGGAGTTTGGGATTAGCAGGTGCAAACTATTTCATAGAGGATGGATAAACGACAAGGTCCTACTGTATAGCACAGGGAACTATATACAATATCCTGAGATAAACCATAATGGAAAACAACATATATACTTATACACATACACATATATAAAAAACTGGGGACTTCCCTGCTGGTCTAGTGGTAAAGAACCCGCCTTACAATGCAGGGGATGCGGTTTTGATTCCTGGTCAGGGAACTGGGATCCCACATGCCACGGGGCAACTAAGCCTGCGTGCCACAACTACTGAGCTCGCGCGCCTCAACTAGAGCCTGCGTGCCACAAGCCACAGAGTCCACGCACTCTGGAACCCACGCCACAACTAGAGAAGCCCAGGCGCCACAACGAAAGATCCCGCATGACTCAACGAAGATCCCGCATGCCGCAACTAAGAACCAATGCAGCCAAAAATAAATAAAACAAAAAATAATGATAAATAAATCTTTCAAAAAATAAAACTGAATCACTTTGCTGTACAGCAGAAACTAACACAACATCGTAAATCAACTATACTTGAATAAAATAAATTAAAAAAACAAAACCACCAAAATGCTCACAGTGAAAGTTTCTGAGTGCTTTGTGTGTGTGTGTGTGTGTTTTGTGAAGCAGAGGTGCGGGGGGTCCCCTCCTTCTATTTGTTAGTTTTTCAAATTTTCCACAATAAACATATTACTACCTAGTGGAACAAAGTTATAAAAAATAAAATAAGTGAAAATCCCATTCTCGCATGGACATCTTGCCAGTCTCCAGGGAATATTTAAAAAATAATGATTTAGGGGCTTCCCTGGTGGCGCAGTGGTTGAGAGTCCGCCTGCCGGTGCGGGGGATGCGGGTTCGTGCCCCAGTTTGGGAGGATCCCACATGCCGCGGAGCGGCTAGGCCCGTGAGCCATGGCCGCTGAGCCTGCGCGTCCGGAGCCTGTGCTCCGCGGCGGGAGAGGCCGCGGCAGTGAGAGGCCCGCATACCGCAAAAAAAAAAAAAAAAAAAAAAAAAAATAATGATTTAGGGTTGGAAGATTCCAGTAGAGAAGAGGTAAACTCTTTGTTTTCATTTTATTACCTACCCAACCTGGGCCAAAACCTCGGACAAGGCTGATTCCAGTTCTCTCCCCTGTTCTGGTCTCCTACGCACATTCGGCCCTGCGTTCACAGCCCCCAGCCAGCCTTGGAATTCCTGTTATCTCTCCGTTGCCTGAAAGGCACCTTTCTGCCAAGCCCACCCTGCCTCTGGCTTCCCCTCCTGTGACTCTTCTCTGCCACCTTTTCAGGCTTAACTTGGAGTCCGGGGCCCCTCCCCACACCCACACCCGCAGGGGATGAGGCTCTGCTGGGCCAGCACCGGCCCCTCCACTCCCATCATTCTCTCTAAGAGCCTGGATTTCTGCACCTGCTCCCCACCTGGCTCCTACTTCTCAACTCTCTCCACTTTGGCCTGACAGGCAGGTGCCAAATCTGTCCTAAACATCTTTCATGGCGTCACTCTAGCTCCAAAACTTTCAGTGGCTCCCCTGGGCCTATTAGACAAATTTAATCAGTAGCCAGAGGCCTGAGGCCCTCGGCGTCACCCCAGCCCGAAGAGCACACCCGCCCTGGACAGACCTGTCATCACCCCCATACCCTGTGCCGAGGGCCGGTCCTGGGCCCCTACTGGTCTCGCAGTTACTGAGCACTTGAAATGTGGCTTGAGGGACTGAGAAACTGAGTTTTAAATTTTACCGAACTAGAATTATTTTTAAATTTAAACACTGACACTTGATTCATTTATTGAAAAACCTTCAGTATGTCTGGAACAACTTGGGGATGTGAATCTGCTTTTTCAACTGTACGTTTCATGACATCTAAATTGAGATCGACCACACCAGTGAAGTGTAGCACTGTGGGTTCAATCCCTGGCCGGGGAACCAGGATCCCACATGCCGCAGGGCAACTGGGCCTGCGCGCCACAACCACTGAGCTTGTGTGCCTCAACTAGAGAGCCTGCGTGCTGCAAACTACAGAGCCCACACGCCCTGGAGCCCATGCGCCACAACTAGAGAAGAGAAAACCTGCGCGCCACAACTAGAGAGAAGCCTGCGCGCCGCAAGATCCCACGTGCCTCAATGAAGATCCCGCATGCCACAACTAAGACCTGATGCAGCCAAAAATAAATAAATAAATAAATAAATATATATAAAATAAATAACTCTTAAAAATAATAAGTAAAATGTGGTTCTTAGAAAATTTTAAATGACATGTGGGGCTTGCCTTCTATTTCTATTGGCGAGCACTGCTCAAGAGTCTAGAAAAGACGGGGAAGCAGAGCTGTCTGGTGTGTCCGCTCAGAAGCCTACCCCTCAGGGGGCCGCCTCTTTGCACCCTCGGCCCCTCCTCCCGGGCACTTGCCAGTAAGCACTACAGCACTAGTTACAGTACCCAAAACAGCAGGAACCACCTAAATTCTAAATTCATACCCACCATGGACTTCTGTGGAGCCCCTAGAAATCACAAGATGAAAATGTTCACAGACCAAATGTCATTAGGGGCAAAAAGGAGATACAAAAATCACCCATACGTTACAAGGAAGTTCACTAAATATTTATCCCAACAATGGATGGAGTCAAGGGTAATTTAAGTTTCTCCCTATATACTAATTTTCTAAATTCTCCAAATTTTCCACAATGAACATAATTATTTTTATAATTATGAAAACAGCAATGAAGGTTATTTCTTTTACAACTCAGCCTGGCCTGAAGGTCTCTTTCTGTTTCCCTCCTTTCGACCTATGTGAATGCCTCTCTGGGGTAAGTTCAGGGCAGCCTCTTCCAGGAAGGCATCCAGGGTCCCGGGACACCGAGTGGCTCCAGGGAGCTGGACTTGTAAGAGCCCGAGGATCCATCTGCTCGCGCATCCCAAGGGCCAGGCCCAGGCGAAGGAGCCCCAGGAGCCCGGCCCAGGGTCCCCCAGAGCCTCACCGCCACTGCCACCCACGCTTTGCTTATGGAGTACTGTGTATTCAGGCACTGTGCCAAGCGATCGTCACGAGCCTGGAAAGTCAGTCTTATTAACCCCACTGTACGGATGGGCAAACCGAGGATCAGAGAGGAGGGGCAGTTGCCCACGGCCACATGGCTGGTCAGCAGTGGAGTGGAGATTTGAATCCAGGTTAGCTGTTGACTCCAGGCCACTGGCTCTTAGCCACCTTGCCACGTGCCTCCACTGGAACCCAACCATTCCCCCATCATTAGCACATCAGGGCCACACGCCTCTCTGCAGTATCTCAAAGCCGACCACCCCCCCACCCCCCCGGCTCAGCCCCAACCCACACCTTCCCTCAGTAACACTTCCTCACACCAAGTAAGTTGCTGCCTCTGTGCCCTTTGTCCTGCAGCTCCTCACGACTGGGACACCTTCCTTCCCAGTGGGGATGGGGGTGAGGGGAGGCGGGAAGGCAGAGGCAATACGCGAGGACAATCCTTCCTGGACGGCCTCCCTCTCTGCACTCAGTCACCCAGTCACTCAACAATTACTGAGTACCTAGCACGCGCTAGCTAAGTTCTGCAGGGGTATAAACAGAAAGAAGGAAGGGGACCTGGCCCTCAAGAAGCTTACAGCTAGTAGGCCTACAAGCCATGTACAACCACTGCAGCACCCGGAAACCAACCTAAGAGTGACAGCAGTTACAGTGAGCTATGGGGGTGGGGTAAGGGATGCTACCTCCGAGGGGGGAAACAGGGCTGCCTGGTGAGGCTGTCCAGAGCCAGACTTTGTGGGTGGCAAAGGCTTCACACACGGTGATGTGTGAGAGCGTCCCAGGGGGCTGACAGCACAGGCAAAGGCCCAGCGGCAGGAAGGGCTGGCCAGGTTGATAGCAGGGAAAGAGGTGGGGCCAGGTACCAGCTGCCCCTCCTGTCCTTACCTGGAGGAAGATGGCAGGGCTGCGTGTTACAGGGCTCCACATCCGCAGGCCTGGAGGGCTGCAGGCTCCCACAGAGGCCGGGCGGGCCAATGGCGCAGCCCACCTGGCGCCTCCGAGTGCCCGAGCTGCAGCTCGTGGAGCACTGGGGCCCCCCGGGGTGGGAGTGGGGAGAGAGAACAAGCCCGCAAAGGGAGAGAGACCCTGAGACTGGGTGGGGGGTACCCATAAGGCAGGGGGAAGGGGGAAGGGGGAAGGGGGAACTGCCTGGTACTGCGTGTCAGACCCAAGGACAGGCACATGTGCAGCCTCCGGTCAGAGACCCAAGGGCCCGGGACTGGGCAGCAGGTATGGGTGGGGGGAAGTACTCACTAGACCCCAGGCGCCTACGTGCCAGGCCTGGTCACTGAGGGGGGGACAGCTGTCATGCACACAGGGCTCAATGAGGGGGGGACGGTCCTCCAAGGAGCACGCTGTGGCGTGGAGCAGAGACCCCTCGCCACCCCGGCAGGTGACAGTCCGCCTCCGGACCCCGGCGCCACAGCTGACAGAGCACTGTAAGGACCGGGCTGTCAGCACGAGCTGGTCCTCGCCCAGCTGGAGTCCCACCAGCCTGGCCCAGAGGGCAGACAGCACCCTGCTGCCCCATGCCCAGTTCCCAGGCCCAGAGAGGCCGAGTCATCCTCCTGCGGTTACACAGCCTGAACCATGGCTGCAGATACCAAGCTGAGGTGCGTTTTCCACATTCCTTCATTTGCAACTGCAACATAGGTAGGTGCCAGAAGCAGTGACCAGCAGCCCCAGTTTCTCCCTGGCCCCCAAACAATGTGCCCGGCTTCTTCTTTCCCACCCGGCCTGGGACCCTAGAGAAGGAGGAAGAACACGGGAGCAGGAATCCAGGCCCTCGCTCTAGTCCCAGCCTTGGCCACTGCTTCCAAGACCACGTGGCAGGTCACTTTACTCCCAGGATCTGTCTGCCCGAGGCGGAGGACAAGCCTCCCAGCCCTGCTGCTGCCCAGGTCCAAGACCCAGCTCCTGACTTCCGCCCCTCCTAGCAAGGCCCGGGCCTCACCTCGCCCCAGGGCTCCGCGCTCCAGGCTGTGCAGCGCTGCAGGTTGCAGGCCTGCGTGGTAGGGGGCTTCTCAGGCAGGGCCGCACACTCGGTGTCCTCAGCAGCCTCCTGGACGCCGGCGCCATCAGATGAGACACAGTAGACGGTGCGGGACTGGGAGCCGCCCTCACAGGAGGCCGAGCAGGGAGTCCAGGGCCCCGTCTTCCAGCTGGCAGGGAGCAGGAAGGCGGTGAGGCTGGCCCTGCAGCAGGCACCAAGGTCCAGGCCCAAGGGGGCACAGGAGCGGAGGGGGGACCCCCACCCGGCCCATTCTCTGAGCATCAGGCAGTGCATGTGAGGGGCAAAGAGCCCTGCGCAAAGGCCAAGGTCCGGGCCTGCTCACCCATTCCCACCATTGTGCACTGGTCCCTAAAAACACGGAGCCTGGCCGCCTCCCTCTCAGCGTTCCTGTCCTCACCTGAGTCCCCCTTCCTCCTCCTCACCAGGTCAGCCATCACCCCCAGCCAGACTCCATCCCCTCTGGGGCTGAACTTAGTGGGGAGCATCTCCCGGAGGGGCTGTGCTCACCCAAGTGGGGAGAGGCCCTTCCTGGCTGTGGGGCCCAAGGACCTAGAAGAAAGGGCCAGCCCACATGCAAAGCCACACCCACCACCATCCCAAGAGACCAGCTGCCACCAAGGCCACAGGGAGGAAGGACTGCACAGCCCTGCGGGGAGCCTGTGGCCCAGGAGCACCTGTTCCTGCACACACGCTGGGCCCCAGCGAGGCGCCACGCTCTGGGCTGGTGCAGGTAAGAGGTCCCTTGTGCACAAACACAGGCACTGCCGATGCCCTCAGGCCCCTTGGCCCAAGCCGTGGCCCATTCCTTGGCACCTGCCAAGTCCCCTGCCAACTCAGACAAACGGGGCCTCCGATACCCTCCCAACCCTCCCGCCGCCAGCCTGGACATTCTGGGCACTGTGTGGGCTCAGGATGGCGGACGGAATAGCCTGGGGTCTCATGCTCAGGACCCCCCACTGCCCCTGCCCGGCTGATGGCTGGCTCCTCCCCCTCTGGCCACAGCTCTGAGGAGCCCCTCAACCTCCTTCTTTGCTCAACGCCTAAAGCGGCTGAGGGACCCCACTCCCTTCCCACCTAAGAGCTTGGATCCCGCAGGGGCCGAGGGGGCCAGCAGGGCCTCACCGCTTGGTGTGTGGGCAGGGCTGAGGGCTGCAGGGGCGGCGGTCAGCTGGCCGCGGCTGGTGCCGGCACAGGTGTTCGGGGTAGACCTCATTGTCGATGATGCAGAACACTGGGCGGGTCTGCTGACCTGCAGAGGCCCGGCCGTAGCAGGCAACCAGTCAGTCCAGACTCGCCAAATGCATTCTCTGGGCCAGGCACCCTTCCGGACACATCCCAAGCGTCACCCTGATTAAGCCTCACGTGACCCCCTGGGGTAGGCTGCCATCACCATCCTCAATTTACGGATGAGGAACCTGAGGTTCAGAGACTTGTATCTGTGGGCGATGGAGCCCCGCTCTGACACCTAACCACTAGCTCCAGGCCCAGGCTCCACTGACAATGGAATACTGTCTCCTGTGAGATGCCACTGCCTCGGGGAAGCCCTCTGGTTCTCTTAGATTGGGCGGGGGCCCTTCCTTGAGTCTCCTGATCTCTGGGTTTCCCCCAGGTGACCCCCCATGACGTGAAGCTGTCTCCTCTACTTGTCCACCTCGCACCCACAGCTGGAGCGCCTGGAAGACAGAGCCAAGCCCCGCGTGCAGCCGCGCCCCCTGACCGGGGCCCTGCCCTCACCTCCACCACACGTGGCGCTGCAGTCGCCCCACGAGCCGTGACTCCAGCTGAAGCCGGGCCGGGGGGAGCTCAGGGGCAGGTGGTACTCGAAGCGCACGCCAGGGTTGGGCTCCTGGCTGATGAGCTGTGCAGGAGGGTCCCCACTGAGGCCTGATGCCAGGGGGCCGTGCCCGCCCAGCCCACAGCCCTCCTACTGGCCGCCCCCCTCTCCCACCAGCCCCGCTCACCTCGATGATCAGGGGCTCTGAGGTGGGGCCGCGGGCGTGGAGCTGCTCGGGCGCCAGGTCCCCCTCAGCTCCCCGCTCATAGTGCAGGACGGTGCTGGCCACAGGTAGGGCCCGGGCGCCCTCGATGGTCCAGTGCCCGTTGAGGTAGTATTCACCACGGACGCTCTTCACCGCTGTGCGGGGCGAGCACCCAGGTCAGCTGCCCTGGCAGGACCCACCCCCCTGCCCCAGACCCAAAACTTTCCTCACCCAGGAAATTCCTGCTGGCGGCCGCCTCCTCAATGCGGATGCTGGTGGCCCCCACGGGAACTATGAGGATCTGGTTGTAGCCTGAGGGGACAGAGATGCTCCGGGACCACTCTGGCCACAGGGAGGAGTTGGCCCTGAGGATGCTACGTGCCCGGCAGCACAGGTGGGGTCAGGGAAGGGCAAGGAGGACACAGGCAGGGCAGGGTGCTTGGGAAAGAGTGTTCCTGAGGAGCAGACAGCCTTACAAAGCCCAGAGGGGCGGGCAGGCTCCAGCACCCATACTGACCGGGAGGGGAGGGGGCAGATGGGGACAGTGGGGGAAGGGATGAGGAGGCATCCAGGTGGCCACTGGATAAGGGGGCAGAGATCCTAGTGTGAGCCCACAGGCTCCTGGACAAGGGTTTGGCCGCCGCCCTGAGGCGGGACCTCAGGGCTTTCATGACCTGAGTGCCACATCAGACCCTCTGAGTGCCATGAGAGCAACTCAGCCAGTGAGGGAGACAGGCCAGGAAGGAGCAGGTAACAGACCCTTGTCTCAACTGTCTGTGGACCCTGGGAGGAGCCCCACCTCTGCTGAGGTCATTGGCATCAAAGACGCCTGTGACGGGGTAGCAGGTCGTGCCATCACCACCACACTGCAGACACTTGTCCTCCTGCTTCGACGAGTCCAGGTTGTAGTCACAGCCGACAACCTGCCAGGCAGAGATGAGGGGAGATGGGAGAGACCAGCGTGAGTCACGGTCACACCAGGACTTGAACCCTGGCCGCGTAGCCAGGTCCGGGAGGTGCAGTAACCAGTCACTAGCCACGGGGGCCGCGTAAACCTTGAATCTGGCCTGTGGCTGACAGTCCGCCTCTTCTGCCTACTCGGCACCGTGTCCCCTTCTCTGGCAACAGCACCTCACTTTCCTTCCTCTGTGGGAGCACCTCTCTCCCACAGAGTTTGCATACAGCTCCCCAACAGGGCCTTCGGGCCAATCAGCGGGTTGTATGCCTTGCTCAAAGCTCACAGGGGGAGCCCCAGGCCAGGACAAGCCAAAGGCAACCCCAGGTTGCTGGAACTCCTGGGAATAGGGCGCCCTGTCCCCGGGAGTTGCCAGGCTGGGACAACTGAAGCCTGAGCTGCTGGGCCATCTTCACACCTCATCAGAAGAACCTGTCTGCCCCTAAGCTGACCAAAGAGACAAGGAGAGAGATGTTTCCAGCATCATCATTCAAGCACCTGCAGCCAGCCAGCCACTCCCTCCCCCAATGGCATTTTTTTTTCTTAAGTCAGTTTTAGTTGGGTTTCTGTTACTTGCCCATGAGCTACAACTACTGAGGCCACGTGCCACAACTACTGAAGCCCGTGCGCCTAGATCCCATGCTCCACAACAAGGGAAGCCACCGCAATCAGAAGCCTGTGCACCTCAACGAAGAGTAGCCGCTGCTCGCCACAACTAGAGAAAGCCCACGCCCAGCAACAAAGACCCAACATGGCCAAAAACAAATAAATAAAATAAATAAATTTAAAAAAAAGAAGAAATACACTGGCGAATGTATTAGAATATTTATGCCTGGAAAATTTGAGGATACAGGAGAGAAGGCTATAGGGACATCATCTTCAAGTATCTGAAAATAGGAGGAAATCCAGGGGTGGGAGAGGGGAATGGAAAGAATTAAGAATAATGGGGCTTCCCTAGTGGCGCAGTGGTTGAGAAAATGCCTGCTAATGCAGGGGACACGGGTTCGAGCCCTGGTCTGGGAAGATCCCACATGCCGCGGAGCAACTAGGCCCATGAGCCACAACTGCTGAGCCTGCGCGTCTGGAGCCTGTGCTCCTCAACAAGAGAGGCCACGATAGTGAGAGGCCCGCGCACCACGATGAAGAGTGGCCCCCGCCTGCCACAACTAGAGAAAGCCCTTGCACAGAAATGAAGACCCAACACTGCCATAAATAAATAAATTAATTAATTTAAAAAAAAATAATGGAAGAGAGGTTCATTTAGTATAATTGTGAGCAGCTGTGAAGAGCAGCGTGGAAACAAAATTACCGGGAAGAAGTGGTAGCCTCAGTGTTCACAGTGCCACCCAGAGGGTTCCTATTACTGTGGGGCTAGAGTTTTCAAAGGGCAAAGGTAAGAGGGTCACAGGGCATCTGCGATGCAAGGCACCTTAGAAGCTAGTCTTGAGAAGACGTCAAAGTCATGAGAGCCCCTGGCCTGCTGGTGCGGGGCTGGGCGACGTCTGCAACAGGCCCCGAGCCATCTGGTGGGGGTGGGGGCATAACTCACCCGGCAGCTGCCATCCACGCAGATGTCCCGTTTGCCAGGCTCGCAGGGTGTCCCGTCTATGACGGCCTCCCTGTGCTTGTAGTAGAAGCTCTCCCCCTTGGGAATGCAGTTCAGTTCACATTTGTTTGGGGCTGCGGCGAGCAAGAGGAGAAAGCTGAGAGGCTGAGTGAGGTTCAAGGCCTGTCCTAGCAACAGCGAAGTGTGGGCAGGAGCCAGAAGCACGCGCGCCCATGACTGGGAGGGGCCCACAGCGCCATACATACTCCCAGTGGCTCAGAATCCCACCCCCAAGCCAGGGAGAAGGGATGCTCTCCCGGAAACTGCTGCATCTCTGGGAATCCCTGGGAATCAAGTCGAAGAAAAATCCCAGAATAAGGAAAAAGCTAGACATTTGAAGAGGTCTATCCCACCCTTATTATTTATAATAGTCCAAGTTTTAACAATCAGCTACTCTATTATCTATCACTAGAATATTACGCGTGTTGACTGTGCTATTAAAAACTATGGTTATGAAGACTAGACAGTAATGTGGGAAGATGCTTATAACAGAGTGCAAAGTGATACTATGTAATAACTACAAGTAGGTAAACAGAGAGAGAATAATGTGAAAAGGGCTCGCATGAAATGCTAGCCTGGATCCTATGAAAGAGATAGGGTTAAGGTTTTTTTCTTGTTTCAATTTTTATATTTATCTAAATATTATATACACATTGTTTAAACAGCCCAGAAGTGCTAACAGGATTGTAATCACCTCCACCCAAAGAAGGCATCCCTCAACAACCCTTTTTAAACTTTCCCCTGTGTTCTAATTTTTCTATAACAGGTATTTAAATTATTTTCAACATACCCTCACCTTAGGATCCAGGAGGAGCAATGAATGCAAACCACCGCACTGGGGCCGCCCCCCCTCTGGCCAAGACCCCTTCCCCACCCCAGAGCACACACAGCTCTGTTAACTGATTTGGAATCCCGAGTGCCACAGAGTTTCCGGGAGTCATCCACAGTGAGCAGTGAAAACTACTACTCAGGTATGTTCTGACTCATCTAAAATGTTTTAAGTACACATGTTAGTGTTTTTTGTTTGTTTGTTTTCTTGAACTGTATTGCTCTAAAAATTAATCACCTACATCTTCCTCAAATTTACCCAGAGCCAGGTTCCGGCCCCAGAGACTCTGAGTAAACGAGCTCTTGCCACATCAAGCCCCCTGCAGCCCAGCCTGCAGGTTGCCCAAACTCAGGCACAGACTCCACTCGCCACCTCGCACCCCACCCCCTGCCCGGCCCCCCACCATGCCTCCTGCCACGTGAGGAATGCTTCCGGAGCAGGCCAACCAAAAGAAGTCTCAAAACATCAGAGGCTTGGCCAAGGCTTTGTTTGAAAACGTATGTATGGAGGGGAAAAGGATGGAAAAACCTCAAAACGACCACCACTGTTGTGCCCTGCTGGGGGTACTGGAGGTTTTCCTTTAAATGTATTTGACAACGTGTCTATAATATGGTAATGAGAACTGCGAAATGCAGTCAGTGTAGCAAAGAGATCCCCAAAGATGGGGCCCAGCATAGGGCAACGCAGTGGGGGACAGCAGTCGGAGGGACTCGCGCACTTACCGCCGTAGTACGGCAGCCACTTGTACCGCCGCCCCTGGAACTCCTGGCCGTCGAACTCGGCGCACTGCTCCGCCCTGAAGTCGCGGGCCCCGTCGGGACAGCTCTGCGGGGCGAAGGGGACAAGGGAAGGGGCTCGTGGGTCCACCACTGGGGTCTGCCGCCCGGTTAGCCCCGGGGAGGTGGGGTCCTGTCCCCCCAACCCCCGCTGTAGCTTCGGGGAGGTGGAGTCGGGTCCCCAGGGCTCCCGTGCGCCCGCTCTAGGGGCCTTGGGCTGCCCGGGCGAAGCTATCATTTCAGGGTGGGTGAGGAAGGGGTTGCTGTGCACCGACAGGAGGGCCCCCGAGGGCTAGGATGTCAGCCGAGCAGGGCGTCCGGGAAGCTGTCCCCCACCCCCGGGGGCTTTACCTTACCTCGGTGCGGCAAGAGCGGTGGCTCCGGGAGGGGCCCACGCAGCCGGAGCCCCCATCTCTCCTGCAGGGCGAGAGCGCTGGGAAGACCCGAACCCCCATGACCCAACACCCCGCCCCTTCCTGGGGCTCCCCCGCCTGGACCTCAGCTTCGGTGGCGCCACCTGGTGGGCACCACTGGGCCCGAGGGGTGGCAAGGAGGGGAGGGGTGCGGCCTCACACATAAATCCCTTTAGGTAGGTTTAATCAGCCCTCTGTTTATACCTGGGAGAAGTCAGACCCAGAAGTCTAACTACCCCGGAGTTTGTCTAACTTGGGGCCACTCTGCCTCTTAAAGCAAATTCCCAGAGAAGCCTCAAATTCTGCCCTTGGAGACACAATAAGATGTAATACCTACCCACCTGGTAAGGTTATTCTGCCACTTAAGGAGTAAATGAGGATAAGGCACTTATAGTAATGTCTTATCTCTCTCCCTCTTCACCCAAAGTTTTCAGGAACAGGTAAACCCACTGACAGGCAGGGTGTCATCACCCCTTCTTTTGCACCCTATAGTACCTATCAGAGCGCAGAGCACAGAGCAGGTGCTTACTAAGTCACTTAGAGTGAAAAACATCTATACTTGACAAAGAAGCTGACAGTAGAGAAACCACACAGGTTAAACTGTTGAAAATTATTCATTAATTCAACAAGAATTCACTGCACCTGCCAGGTACTGCATGAGGATCTAGAGACTCGGGGTGGATGAAGCAGGAATGGCTCCAGCCCCCTGAAATAAGGTGGTTGTTGCAGTCAGAGTGTAAGGACGTGGAAATGACTCAATTTCAAATTCTCCACTAACGCTGCTCCCAGCACAAATCCATTATGTCGTAGGTCCTGCCCCTGTGGCCGGGCACTGGCCCGGGACACCTAGCCCAAGACCCAGCTGCTCCCTCACGCCTGCCCTCTTTTTACAAGCTGGCCCATTCCCACCTTCCTACCTCTGGGAGTAGCAGGGGCGCTCCCGGAAGCTGACGCCCCCTCCACAGGTCCGGCTGCAAGGGCTCCAGCTGCCCCAGGAGCTCCAGGTGTCACTCTGCCGCCTCACCCTGGGAGCCTGCGGGAGGAGACACTCAGGAGGGACTCAGCACTTGGAGCCCCACAGGGTGCTCAGGGCTCCCCCGGGGCCCCCTGTCTCAAAACACCCCCTCTCCTGCAAAGAACCTGAGATCTTGTCTCCTAGAGCCAAGCCTTCAGGACGGCAGCACCGCCAGGCACCCGGACATACTTATTTGTGGAACTGGCCAGCTGTCACCATAAGGAGCTGGGAGCCGGCCTTCTCATCCGTCAACACCACCTCCACCAGCCGCCCCTACTTGCCAAGTACAGCGGGCAAGCCGCCAAGCTGGGGGCAGAGATCTCTCCCCTGACCGTGATATCCCCTGGCTGGGAAGAGCCTGGTTTGAGAATCAAGATGTCTGCGAACATTCCCTTGAATGGAAGCCCACGGATCAGCAGAGCATGCCCTTCCAGGAGGGAGATACAAAAGGGCAGGAAGAACAGCATGTCATCAGGCAGACAGGACTCCACCTGTGCGGGGAATGTTGCCCACGGGCAGCGCCATGTTTTTGTAGCTCTGGCCTATTAGAATAAGAACTTAATCTAACCGTGCGTGCGTGCGTGCGTGGTTGGAGTGGGGGCTGTGGTTTCTTCCTGCCGATCTGTGGCAGGGACTCCCAGGACTTCCCCAATATCCATCCTCCCCTTCTCCTATTAAGAGGACCCTTGACTCTTAGCTGGATACCTGGCTGCCTCCATCCCAAAATTCATTTCCCAGATTTCCTGCAGCTAACCACAGCTATATCACTAAATTCTTGTCAGTGAGATGTACATAAAAGTGTTGGGTAGCAGCCTCCAGTACAGGCATACCTCAGAGATATTGTACGTTTGGTTCCAGAACACCGGTATAGAACAAATATGGTGAAAAAGCAAATCACACAAATATGGGGATTTCCCAGTGCCTATAAAAGCTGTTTGCATTATACTGTAATCTATTAAGCATTCTGTCTAAGAAAAAACAGAAACAAATGTATGCACCTCAATTTAAAGTACTTGGGGCTTCCCTGGTGGCGCAGTGGTTAAGAATCTGCCTGCCAGTGCAGGGGACACGGGTTCGATTCCTGGTCCAGGAAGATCCCACATGCCGCGGAGCAACTAAGCCCGTGCACCACAACTACTGAGCCTGCGCTCTAGAGCCCGAGAGCCACAACTACTGAGCCCGTGTCACAACAAATGAAGCCCGTGCCCCTAGAGCCCATGATCCGCAACAAGAGAAGCCAACGCAATGAGAAGCCTGCGCACCGCCATGAAGAGTAGCCCCCGCTCGCCGCATCTAGAGAAAGCCCACACGCAGCAACAAAGACCCAACACAGCCCAAAAAATAAAATAAAATCATTTATTTTTCAAAAGTACTTTATTGCTAAAAAATGCTAACCATCATCTGAACTTTCAGAAAGTCGTAATCTTTTTGCAATAGTAACAAAGATCACTGATCATAGATAACTAAAAAATATAATAATGATGAAAAATTTGAAATATTATGAGAATTACTAAAATGTGACAGAGACACAAACTGAGCAAATGCTGTTGGAAAAACGGCACCGACAGACTTACTCGACAGAGTTGCCACAAACCTTCAATCTGTAAAAAATGCAGTATCTGCAAACGCAATAAAATAAGGCGTCCCTAAGAGATAGCTTGCATGTGCATTTGTCCTTTTTCTTCTTCCTCCTGTATTCCTTCCTGCTATTTGGAAATCAGATGTGATGGCTGGAGTTGGAGCAGCCTTCTAAACTATAAGGTAATTTGGGAATGGAGGCTTCACATAGTGAAGCAAAGATAGAAGAATCTGGAGCCTGGAGGATGTGGTGAGACAGAACATCCCTAGACTTCTGACCTCTGGGTGTTTATTTGAAAGAGGGATCAAGTCTTTCTTGTGGAAGGACTGTTATTTGGGACTCTGTAACAGAAAAATAATCCTAATAGATCAGTTTCCCACCCGAAAAATCTGACACCCTGCAGCTGGCATCAGAAGCCCACATGCTACACACATATTCTCTTATTCACTCCTCAGAATAACCTGACGGACCCCAGTGCATGGAGTAGAGAGAGGCAGAGAGAGAGGGAGCCACGTAGGAACAGGTGGACACAATAGCAGGTTGTCTTCACCCAAGGCCTCTGCTCTTTCACCAGGGTCCCACCGACCTCACCTGGAGAACCAACGCCGACACTAGCCGAGGCCTAAGGAGCTGGAGAGGTGTTGGACATGATTTTTTGCTAGGAGGCAAAAGGTGGACTGGAAATATGTCCCGTTTGCTGGAAGGGGACTTTATTTTAGGGCATCACGACATAAGAATCTCTAGGGGAAAGAAATCCCTGCCATTTTCCAGAGGAAGAATTCAAGTCCTAACGTGGAAAAGCAAACTCTTCCTCCCGTCGCGAGCCACCCGCCAGGTGAGGATGGAGGTTTGCGCACGCGCAGATTACTCAGTGTTCTAGCGCCTCGGTGCCAAACATCAGGTTTTCCTTGTTTTATAATAAAACCAGAACCCTGAATCAGAACAACTCACACATGCAATGAACCACGTACAAAACCAAGAAGGAAGGGCCAGCCAGGCCAAAGGTCTGAGCTTTCACTCCTCAAATCATTTACCCTTCAGTTCTAACTGGGCCAAAATCGCCAAGCCTCCAAAAACCAGCGAACCAGAATATAAAAGTGTTCTCTCTATGAAATTTAAACTAAAATTTACTTGGATCCGTTCCCGTTTTAAAGGGGAAGATGTTGAGTGTCGGGGTTGGAGGGTGACTTTCCAGGGACCACAAGCACCTCCACTCCAGACTCATCACTACAAAATAAGAATTCTGGAAGCGGCCCACAAGAACTGCTGCTTTCTCATCCTGCCGCCTCCGCCTGGCTACTAATTACCTCTGACCAAGTCCTGTTTGGGTGTCAGTCTCACTCCTGAAGCACGAGACTGAGCTTCCCCAGTCTACCCTTCCCTGCGCCTGGGCTGGGCTTACCGGCGTGGGCAAGGCAACAAGGGGCACCCCTGCCACCCAGCCACCTTGGGCCATCAGGATGGGGTGGGGGAGGACTCACCTGAATACAGGACCCCTTAAGTACCAAGCCTTACAAACATCCCCTTGCCCCCGAGCCCAGCACCCGTGAAGCAGGCATCCTGGAGCCAGGCCCCGTCCTGTACTTTAGTTTCTCTGACAAAAAGAAATCAGTCAGCCAGCAGCATCACAGACACATCTTGTTTCTCTATAATTACCCAAACCATGAGCCGCATGATGGTGTGAAGCCAGAATGAGCTGCTCCAGTCCACCCTCATCCTGGGCCTGTCCTCACCTGCCTCCTGACGCTCTCAGCACCCCACCAGCTCCTCCTCCAACCCCACCTGGGCAGCTCAGGAGCCCCCTTTCCTGCTGCACTGTTCCCAGGGGATCAGCTGCCCTACGTGCATGGGTGAGGGTGGGAGTGGGAACAGAGGCAGAGGCGAGGAGATTGGAAGTCCCCCTCATGAAGCCTCCCCCCGACCAGCCTGGGGTTGGGGGCGGCAAGGGGCGTGGTGCTTTATCCCTCCGTAATCAGCTACTCACTCTGCTCAGGCTGACCCCTGTCAGCACAGAGAATGATCCCATGAAGTTCTGGGGGTCCGGTGAGGAAGTCCTGGCCTCAGCTAGAACCGGCCTGGGCCATGGGGCAGGGGGCTGCATCCAGCTAAAACCAGCCTGAGCCACACCCTCCCGCAGACAGTGCAGGGGGTGTGGAGAGTTTTCAGCCCCAGCTATCCAGGTGTCTCTAAGGGAGAGAGCGCCTAAGAGGACCCAAGTTGCTATGGATACCTTGACTCACTTCACCTGCACGCAACCTGTGGGTGGGTGTTATTATCCCCCCGCCCCCCCGTTAAAGGAATCTAAGACCTGGTGATTTGCTTAGGGTCACAGCTGTTAGGAGGTGGCTCTGAGTTTCATCCTGGTGTCCTGACACTGTCACCATGCCCCACCCGCACCCTGAGCTCTGAGCTTCAGCCAGGCACCAGGATAAAGCCTGTGCCGAGGACCTCAGGGTGTGGCACTTAGGGAACAAGGACCATGGGGAGGCAAAGATGACCCGGGGAAGCCAGAAGGTGGTGGAGAGGACATGAGCAAGGGGGCTTTAGCCCACTCTCTGCTCTGACTGTGGCCCATGCTAAATCCGTGGGGCTCTGGAGCAGTGCCCACTGCTGACGTCCATCCCTGCCTGCCCCTCTCGGCCCTGGTCGGAGGAGTCCTTCTCATCCTCCACTCACATTTCCACTGAGGCATCATTCCCCCTGCCCTCCTCAAGGCAGCAAACAGTTTGGGTCCTTTCTCAGGGGTCCTCCTGCTGGCCTCAGAGGGCTGGGTAGGGCTGTGGGTCTCCCCCTGCGGAGTGCTCTCCAGGGACAGGACGGAATCTGTGCCCTCCATCCTGTCAATGCAGGAGAAACTTGGCAGGAGCAGCCTCCAGGACCAAGCCCTGCTCTGCAGACAGTCCCTTCCCCAAAGATCGGTCCTGTGGTCTAGAAGATTCTCTGTACCTCCATAGAACCCAGGTATGTTCTCCAGGGAGCCCTGTCCTTCGGGCTAATGAAACCACTACTGTGATCACCAGTTGACTTCCTGTGTCCACTTTCTAAATTTGCGCTAATGCGGTAGCCACTAACCACATGAGTCTATTTAAATTCACATTAATCAAAATCAAATAAGAGTCAGTTCCTCAGCTGCATTAGCCACATTTCATGTGTGCAGTAACCACATGAACTGAGTGGTTATCTTATTGGACAGCACTGATGCAGAACATTTCCATCATCTCAGAAGGTTCTATCGGTCAGCCCTGCTCTAGATGCTAACCCCAAAGGCAGTGGGGAATGGCTGGCACCCCAAACCTCCCCACTGAGGAGCAGCTGAGTTTGGTCCCAGGCAGGTGGCAGACATCTGGTGGGATGGGCCACCTAGCCCTGCATCTTGGCTGGTGCCAGCACTGACCCCCTCTTCCTTCCACCGTGATATACCACCCGGCCAGGACGTTCCCAGCATTAGCAGTGCCCCCCAGCACCTTCTGAAGGGGGAGGGCGCTGGGACGTTGCCATTTCTGCAAACTGTGCCCCAAAGCCAGGAGGGAAGTTTCAAGGTCCCACCCCTCTTTGAAGGAGCTGGGGCCGACGGTTCCCTCCTCCCACACCACCGTCCCCGTCGCCGACATTGGCCCTCTCCTGGGGATGGCGCCACTGCCGGGGGTGCTCCAGCCGTCGGGGGCTCCGGCCCGCGGCCAAGCCCTCGCCCCCGCCTCCCCAGCAGGGTCCTCCCGGGGCGGCGGAGCAGGGTGGAGGGGAAGGGTCGAACTCACCGAGGACCCGGGCGCCTGGGGCAGCAGCAGAAGCGCGAGCAGCAGCAGCTGCATCTCGGCCTGGCCTGCGGGAGAGGCCAGGGTTGGAGCGCGTGGGCGGGACAAGGCGCCGCCCCACCCACCCCGAAGCCCGCGCTCCCCGCGGTCTCCTGGGCCGGCGCGGCGGGGGTGGCCTGTCCCTCCCTCCCGGCTGCCCACAGGTGACCCGGACACCCGCAGAGGGACTGGTGGGGATGCCGTGGGGCGCAGCGGAGCGGCCGTGCCACTCACACGGTGAGAGAGGGAAGGCCCGTCTATAACTGGCTTCTAAAAGTTCAAGAGTAACTTCTTTCAGGGTTTCAGAGGGATGGAAAGAGGACAATTAAAAATACTTCCTTAAAAACAAAGACAAGGGCTTCCCTGGTGGCACAGTGGTTGAGAGTCGGCCTGCCGACGCAGGAGACGCGGGTTCGTGCCCCGGTCCGGGAGGATCCCACGTGCCGCAGAGCGGCTGGGCCCGTGAGCCATGGCCGCTGGGCCTGCGCGTCCGGAGCTTGTGCTCCGCAACGGGAGAGGCCACAACAGTGAGAGGCCCGCGTACAGCAAAAGAAAAAAAAAAAAAAACTTTCTTGTTAAAAGACCGGGAGTTCAGAATCAAAGCAATCAGACTCACTGTTTTAATTCAGCAAGAGATTCTTTTTAAAAAGCCATTACAGCGCTTGTTTAAAAACTCGTTAATAAAAATGTTTTTTAAAGTCTCTGCAGGCACTTTTAAAACTCAACTTAAATGCTTTAAAAATGTTAATTGTATCTTACTTTAAACCCAAGCCAGCATTTCTCTGTACTGGAGAAGCTCCACAAGCAGGTTCCCTAAGGGGTGTGTGTGTGTGCAGAGTGAGTGCAGTGTGTGCAATGTAGTGTGTGTGTGTGTGTGTGTGTGTGTGTGTGTACACAAAATGCCTGTGTGGAGTTTGGTGTGTGCACGCATATGATGTGTGCGAGTGCAGCAGGTACAGAGTGTCTGAGTGCAGTCTCGTGCATGTGTGCAGTAGGTGTGCATGTGTGTACATGTCACTGTACTGGAGAATGACATACACAACGTGCCCCTTTCAGTACAAAACATTAAACAAGTACTGGCTTGTATGCTTAAGTTTTAAAATCTGAAATTCTATCATTGTGCTCTTTAATTTTCTTAAGCATAAAATGATTGCAGTTTAGAAGAACAAAATAGAGCATACCTAAGCCAGGTTCAGCCAGATATAACCTGGCACATTTAACCATGCACATGCTCCGTTAATTTAGCACCAACTGTGATTCACGTAGGCATAATTTTCTCTGCAAACCGGAGGTCCACGCGGCTGGCGGGGTGAGGGCGGTGGCGTGCTGCCTCCCGCTCGCACCGCCGCGGTCCAGCCTCGCCTCTGCGGCCCCTCGTGTAAGAACCGCGCGCGGGAGGGGAAACCGAGGTGCCCGGGGAGCCTTGTTCTCGGGCTACCGGCAAAGATGCTGCTTCTCTAAAGTAGAGACTGCCTTCAGGGGGCGGGGATGAGCCTAGCTTAAGGAAAGACGGCAGGAAGGACAGAAGAAAAGAACTTTATTTATAGTTGCTACTGGGAGCGGCGGACTCCGGCCGAGCGGGTCTGTGGCTCCGCGCGGGCTGTGCCGGGGGCCGGCGTCTAGGGTCCCCTCGCGCCCTTCCCGGTCCGCACGCGAGGATCTCCCCCGCGCCCGCCCCGCGGGGGGAACGGGCCCCGTGCAGCCCCCGGGACGGAGAGGGGCGGCTTGCGACGTGAGGCGCGGGTCGGCGGCGCAGGGACCCGGGCTCGGGCGCTCCAGGCCCACAGCCGCAGCGGCACCGGGGAAGGGGGGAGCTTGGTCTCCGGAGACCCGCGCCGGAACGGCGTCCGACGTGGGGGAGGGCAGAGGAGGCGGGAGGGTTGGCGCGGGCCACCTGGGTTGCGTCTGTCCGCCCAGCCCCAGCCCTCGAGGCTCCCGGGGTTTCCTGCGCGCCCACGACCTCCCCCACCCCCGCCCGAGGGCGCGCGACGCGGAGCGGGGACCCGGCGCCGCGCCCGCCTCAGCGGAGAGTGGGAGGCGGGGTCTCCTCCCGGAGCCCCCCAATTCCTTCCACGCCGCTCTCCCCGGGAGCCGGGCGGGGCAAATTCCTGCAGCAGCCCAGGGGCGAGCCGCCCCCGCCCCCGGGGTCCTGTCCATCCGCCTCCTACCTGTCTCCCGCTGGAGCCCGCTCTGTGGGTGCCCGCCCCAGCCCAAGTCTGGGAGGTCTGCCAGGCCGCCCGGAACGCCTGAGGAGGTTGGACTTTCTCTCCCCGCCGCTGGCTGGCTTCCTCCCCGCCCATCTCCCCCCGTCCAGCTCTGCTGACATCCATCCCCGGTGACCTGCGATGCCCAGGGCCTCCATCCCTTTGGGTCTATGCTAGGCTGGGCTTGCCCTTCGCTTTGGGGGCTGGCACCAGTCCCATTTCCTCTGTACCCAAGTCTTCCGGTTCTGTGCCATCCTTCCTCCATGCCCACCTTACATACAACACAGCCCTGTGTCCAGCCGTCTGCTTGTCCTCTACCCCTGAATTCTATGCTTCGGCCACAACTGAGTTTCTCCACACACAATCTGCTGTTTCCCACCTCCCAGCCACCATTTCCCGCTGCCTAGAATGCACTCTGGAAACTCCCTCTTAACCTTGCAAACTCCTAGTCACCCCTCAAGATCCGCCAAACATCATCTTCTCTAGAACCCTCCCCATGCCACCCCAGGCTAAGTTGGTGGCCCTTTGCTCCCTCAGTCTCCATCTCTGTCTGCTCTAGTTCTACGGTGCATCACACAGCAGGGATCTGAGTCTCCCTAATTCAGCTGTGAGGTCCCTGAGGGTAAAGCATGCATCCCTGTCATGTGAGTTCAAAGCACTAGTTGGGATCAAGGTAGGAGCTCAATAAATGCGATACATTTAATTTCCTTTCCTAGCTGTCCTTCTTTTTCTCAACCAAGGCACTCCTTGTCTGCCATCTCTGTTTTGGAACTGGAAATCCCCTATCCCCAGAAAAATAGCACTGGCCCTGGGGCACTTGGAGGTGGGGAGGTCACAAGGTTGATCCCTTTCCCTCATCCTCTTCTGTCTTCAGCCCGTTTCCCAGCCCAGCTATTGGGCATTTCTCCCCTGGCCTCCTGAGGGTCAGAGAAAAGTCACCAGTGGGGAGCTCACCCCCTCTTAAGACCTCCAGCTCCTGCAACTCATCTCCCTGGGCCATCACAGATGCTCAGACAAAAAGCTTATTAAAACATAAGCATGTTGGGCTTCCCTGGTGGCGCAGTGGTTGAGAGTCCACCTGCCGATGCAGGGGACACGGGTTTGTGCCCCGGTCCGGGACGATCCCACATGCCGCGGAGCGGCTGGGCCCGTGAACCATGGCCGCTGAGCCTGGGCGTCCGGAGCCTCCGCAACAGGAGAGGCCACAACAGTGAGAGGCCCGCGTACCGCAAAAAAAAAAAAAGTAAGCATGTTAAATCTGGCCTATTTCTTACCTGTCAGTGAAGAGAGGAGATGCAGCAGCTGTGTAGCAGGGGCCCCTGGGGACTTCTGTGAATTCTTAGGCAAAGATAAAGCTTGACAGAGAAAAGGGAGTGGGATTACCCAAAGCCTCTCTAGAAAAGGAAAATCTGTTTCTTCCATTCCAAAAGCCCCACTCCCTGCTCCCCTCAGCCAGGAATTTTCAGAGCTTGGTCAAAGGTCCCTGTAAAGTGGGAGGCAGCTGCTTCTCCTGCTGTGGGGTTGAGCAGCCGAGGCACCTCCCGGATCTGTTCCTGGTTTCCCTCTACGATCTATGATCCCTTCTTCTCAGACACCCCGGCCCATGATTTCTTACTCCTCACCCCAGCGGCAAAGGAGACCCAGAGGCTGGGGAGGCAGCACCCGCACGCAGTGCATCCTTGGACCCGCCAGCTGGGCTCTGGCGGTTACTGGTTAGGGCAAGCACTGGCCTTTAAGCCTCACGTCCCACCGCCTCAGAGAGACATGGTGAGCACGGTGCCCAGCACATAATTCTTGTCCTTAAAAAAAATGGTGTGCACAAAAACATGGTGGTTTAGAAGGAAGATTCCAGGTACAAGTGTAAGACCTTCTCTAACATTGTAAATTCCCCTCTGTACTGGCCCTGTGTCACACTCACTGTGGCTGCACCAGGCTCCCTTCCACTTGGGGCTGGGGGTAGGGTTAGCCTGGGATGGCAGAAGCAGCAGGAACCTGCTCTGCCTCTCATTGTGTGTGAACTAGGGCAAGTCATGTCACCTCCTTGTCTCAACTTGCTCACTCGAGCCTCACGCAGAGGGTGGTGGAGTAGGGAAGTAACTGGCTTCTATAAAGCTGCTACCAGGTGCTCAGTAAAACTTAGTTCCTTTTGTCCCATGCTCCCTCCACCCGTATCCTGGATTCCCTACATCTTGAACATCTTTGTAGATTGCAGATCTAGGGACACAGCCAAGAAATAAGTGGCCAGATCTCTTTGTGAGGCTGGGTTGGGATGGGGAGCTGAGAGAAGAGGGAGATGGCGAAACCTCAAAAGCCTCAGGGCTCCCGGGATGCACCTCGGCCAGGAAGCCTTCCCTGTGCTCCCATGGTATGGGGTTTGCCCTAGCACTTTGAACTACTGCAGTGATGCATTTGTCTCTCTTTCTCCGTTTAAGTTGTGAACTTTGCAAGGGCAGTGGTCTGTGTTGTTCATCATTGTGCCCTGTACCAGGGGTTGGTAGTGGCCCTGAAGGTGCCCCTCAAGAGAGTGGTGCGGGAACCATGGCTGGTTGACGGTCTCCAGCTGCCAGATCTACACCGCATTCCGAAAGGCTCTCTCTGCTTCTGCTCCCTTCCTTTTATCTTTGCTGCATTTCCCCCAGTAGATCTCCCGTGCACCTAACCTGACCTGACACACGGGGCTCTTGGTTACAATCTGCAGAAAAGGACATGGCTAACTTAGAAAATTTATTCAGAGGAAGGACATTGGGAGCTCCTGGAATTGACAGGAAGCTAGAGAATCAGGCACAGAAATAGGCTGGAATCACAGAAACGGTCATAGATCATGGCCCAGGACCAGTGCTGGTTAGGACATCCTGCTGGACACTTGACTTTAGGCAATACTGACCCATGTCACCCCCAGAAAAAGCCCGTTCTAGACTCCAACCCCAACAGGAGCATGTCGGCACCCTGACTGCCAGGACCCGGGAAACAAGACTTGGCAGGTTCCCCAGGTGGGAGTTCAGGCGCGGGGCTACCCCAGAGAACAAATGTCCACTCTCACCCTGTGGCACCAGCACTCAGTATCTGCTGACCTGAACTTAGAGAACGCCGCTTCTCTCCTTTCTTCTGTTTCGGATGGTGGTTTATTAATTTATTCAGTCCTTGAAAACCTGAATGCCTATGGAGAGAGTAAATGTCCAGCGGTGGTAAACGCTTAACAACCAGCTCTCTGGAGGAGAAAAAGCACTGCTTTGTAGCGTTGATCAGTTTCCATGGTGTAAACACCCCACGGCTGTTTTCAAGCTACGGAAGCAATGTCACTAAGCACAGGGTTGCACAGCAGCTCTCCCAAGCCGTGGACTGTAACACACAGATCGTCCTGCCCTTGGTGAGTTTACCTTCCAGTAGGGCACTGCATTCTACCCTTGTGGGTTCCTTTAGAATAAAACAAAGCTTCCAAACTGAATATTCAAATATTTCCACTATAAAGTCACAACTTATGCTGCAGTCCACTACGAATCCAAAAGGGAAAAGAGAACACTTCACATTTGAGGATTTCTCCATTTACCTCTGTACTTCTCCCCACCCTCCAATACATACATCCATTTCCCTCGATATAGCCACTCAAAGTTGGGTGGTGGGAAGGAGAGCGTTCAAACACTCGGTGCCAGTCTGCACCCCTCCACACCAACCCCTTTCCTCCTTCCCGCTGCCACATCCAAGTCAGGACCTTGAACAGGAAGTGAGACATGAGAGGGCAATGCTCAGGATGGCTGACGAGAGGCCATCACATGCCACCCGGCCTTGGAAGGGAGTGTTACCCTCAAAGCTGGGACAGAAATAAAGGTTCCTCAACCCTCCCACTGACACAAGGGCCATCCAAAACAGAACAGAATTCCTGGGATGTCCTTCTGTGCCCTGGGGCCTGAACCCAGATCCTGGGACAGGGCGCCAGGGGGAGGTTGAGGCCTTGTGAAGACCCTGGGGTGTGGGCAGGACACTGCCCTGGGGCGGAAGACTGGAGAGCAGCAAAAAGGAGGAAAAGAAGGGGTTTTCCAGAAAACTTGTCCTGATTGGCTCCCACCCAGCAGGTCTATCCTCAGAGATCTCATCCCCTTCCTTCCACATGGACACACACACACACACACACACACACACACACACACACGCATGCACACGCTGTAAGGATCCAGGCTACTGTCTCCTCTGGAGAAGCCAGTTGCCTGAACTCCTGGAGACATTAAGGGGCTGGTGTAAGGAGAGCCCCTCGCCCACCCTCTGCTTCCTGAGGGGGAAGGGCTCTGGCCTTCATGGGGTGTGAGGCCAGCCTGCAGAGCACAGCCTGGAGGGTCCCTCTGAGCCTAGCATGGGTGGCCTGGCCTCTAGAGCACAGCTGGTGTCCCGCAGCGGAGCAGCGTGGCCTCGCTGCCTCAGTCACTGCAGAGCGAGGGCAAGGTGTCATTCTCTTGTTGTGGGTTCTGACTCTGGCTCGGCGTCTCCTGCTCTGTGGCTGCTGTCCCTGTGGGCTGCCAGGGACGGGTCCTGGATTGGGGGCCCTGGAGGCCAGCAGCCAAGGCTCCTGAAATCCTCTCCTCTGGGTTTCTCTCCATCACTCTCTCAGGACACTGCTTACCTCCTCTGCTGCTTCAACCTCTGTATTTGGATGATTCTCAGCCCAGAAATGGAGAGGTGACTGTGCCTTGTGCCCAAGGCCTGGAAACATTACCCAGAAAGTTAGAGGACCTGCACCACGCAATTCAGAAACAGACTTTCCAACACTCAACTTAAGGAGGGGGAAAGTACTAACTTTTTATCTTTTTGCTGTGCTTCTCTAACCAGTAAATTTCAGACCTATCATCCTGGACCCCTATTTTAGAGTACAATGCCACTTAAAGATAAGTGGTGTTGTGGTTACTTTTGTATTAAAACAGACTTACAGACTTGCAACGTGGACAAACCTTGAGAACAGGGTGCTAAGTGAAATAAGCCAGATACAAAAAGACAAACATTGTATGATTCCACTTATAGGAGTTACCTAGAGTAGGCAATTCATGGAGACAGAATAGTGGTCACCAGAGGCTGGGGACGGGGGTGGAGGAGGAATGGGGAGTTAGGGTTTAATGGATACAGAGTTTCAGTTTAGCAAGATGAAAAGAGTCCTGGAGATGGACGGTGGTGATGGCTGCACAACATTATGAATACAAATACCACTGAACTATACATTTAAACTATTCACAACATTATAAATACAAATACCACTGAACTAGACATTTAAACTATTCACAACATTATGAATACAAATACCACTGAACTATAATCATTAAAAATGATTAAGGGAGTTCCCTAGTGTCCTCGTAGTTAGGATTCTGGCCTTTCACTGCCATGGCCCGGGGTTCAATTCCTGGTCAGGGAACTGAGATCCCGCAAGCCTCACAGCACGGCCAAAAAACAAACAAAAA